GCCGACGGAGGAGGTGTGGCCTGAGTTTCGCCTCACCCAAAGCGCATCGACCGGACCTGACATTTTGCCTTTGCTTTTCCTTTCTGCGTCAATTTGTCGTCATGGCCCCAAAAGCGAAGCCTGCTTTTTCCGGGGCCTGTGAGGGGCAACTGAGTAGCGGTATCAAAGTCACTGGGCGAAAGGGAGTGTGGTTGTGGTTCTTCAAAATCTTTCTGATTGCCGCATTTTGCAGGTCTCCCCCTGGCAAAAACATGATTGAACCAACAGATGGTTTTCGCTCGGGCCGAACCATTGCAACGGCAAAAAGCACATCGAGCCATTTGTCGAGGAAACTCGGTGGGCCTTCCAGTTATTTGGGGAGCACACAAGGGGTTGACCCAAAGCCTGATCGTAGCAGGAGGTTCAGGCATGTGGATTTCCAGGCTGCACGCAACTGCTACGCCGCAATGGCAAGTCAGCTGCCACAGACCACCGACCCCTTCTAGTCGGATGTAAGCTGATCTGTACCCGTTTGCCGGTGTGGGCCTGGGAGGCAAGGAGTCTTAGACTTCAAGCATGGAAGCTGACAGGATGGTGTTGGAACACACAATTTTTGCAGTTGCGGAAGCCGGTCGTCCACTTCCATGATTGGGCAGAGGGTAGATTCTAGGGGTTGATTCCAATTCAATTCATTTCAAGCACCGGCTCCGTTTCAACTCGGGGTGCCGATGTTGGCTCTCTGGATGGGTGTCTCTTAAAGCAGGAGACGCTAAAATGGTTGATTTCTCGGTCGTTTCCCTTTAAGCCCAAGGTTCCGTCAAAACAGAGCCACCCTTCCGGATGTTTCCCGCACCTCGGCCCCTCTCTCGCCAGTCAGCCGTCAGGTTCCTGCGCAAGACCGCCTGAAGGTGCTGGGGGAAGCCTTCGGCCGCTCGGAAGGATGGCGGAGCCCCGGTTTGGGGAGGGCGGCGAGGTTTTTCTCCCCAAAGCTAAGCGAACAGCAACATGAGGCCCTGAGCTTAGGGGTTCGAGGCCACAGACCCCCCGAGACCTCGGCTGTCCCCAGTTTCCAAGCACCAACGGAAAATACGTTTTCGGCGTGTACAAAGTGAGGAGTCGCTATCGTTGTGCGTGCACTGAAACTGCATGCAGGCTTGCACTACGCTTTGAAATAGATGCCTGCACACATAGGTAATGCATGCATGCAAATATGCGTACATGCATTCGTGCACGCATGCCAATTGAATACACGAAATGATGAATGGAATGGAATGTTGGCATGAAGTGAAATCGAACGGAATTCGATAGGCGCCGGCTGGCATGGCACAAGATGGACTCAGCGAACTGAAGCCAATCATATCAGCATGCCAGTGAGAGGATCACATTACATGTCATTTCTCAGGACGAAATGACGAAACGCCCTTTTGCCAGTTCTCACATGGAACGAGGTTGTCTTCCAGAGGTTTCATGTTCATGTTTGGGAGGGTAGCCAACCCTGGTTGAGTTAAGCTTCAACCTTATTCCCCTTCCGGTGGAGTCCCTAAACATGGAATCATCCGAATCCGAACAGTGATTCACCTAACAAGGGTCAAGTGCCGCTTTTTCTTTGGAGGTTCGTTGTGTGTTGTGGTTTTAAGCGACACCAAAAGCAATACCGCCATTTTGTGGGTCCCCTGCAAAGAAAGACACACCCAAATATGATCCTTCCCATCACTGGTTGCAACTGGGCTGGAAGAAATGACATGAGCTAACTCTCAAGTAGAACCCCCATTAATCAACCAAAAGGTATGTTTTTTAACCAAGTGAACGAATCCAACTGAATTAACTGTCGTAATGACTATTGAACTATTGGAAGTAAATTCTGATTCGGGATGAACCCCCCGACTCGGGGTTGCTCGAGATGAGCATGAACCTCTGAACTGGGCGTCTAGATGTAGAAGCAGCATGAAGCGGAGCCATGGCCATGCCCCACCCTGCAAGAAGCCAGCTTGAGTTCCCCAAAAAACGACCTGCCTGAACACACTTTTGGTTAGGAGTCCAAATTGCGATGGACTCGGCTGGCTAGCAGGTGCCCATTAGGGAGTTTCATGTGGGACTGAGCCGGAACGGTAGATCAGGGACCCTGAGAGCCATGCGCTGCAGCTGCATTCAGCGGGTTACCGTGGACTGCATTAAACTTTGACCGGACCTCATATGGGCACTGTGTCCGGAACAGGGAAGTAGCTTGGAGATTCCCGGAATGAAAAACGGAAAGCCACGCTCGGGCACCTCAACTGAATGAACCAATCGCATATTTCAAAGTTGGAATGGATGTTTATGGTTGGTTGCCTGCTTGAGTTGCTTGAGTTGCTTGCTTGGTTGGCTGGCTGGCTGGCTGGTTGGACTGGCTGAGTCAAGCCCAATCCCACCTCAAGTTGGAGCGACCAGGTCGCTCCCAGGAGCTGCTGCCGGAGTACCGCCCGAGCCTCCGGCGCCCGTTTTTTTCGGATTAATCCGGATGAATTCGGATCCGCCGGGCGCCGACGGGAGAGGTCTTTTTTTTCTCTTCTTCCAGGCTCTACAAGGGCTACCTGGATGTCTTGAATACGTTGATCAAGTTTGAAGGAAAGAAGCACCAAACGGAACGAACAAGTTAGTTGGAGATCTATTGCAAAGTTAGTAAGTGGTTATCCGCCTGGATGACAGCTAGAGCCCACCAACATGGTTAACTCCACTTTCTCGGGGACTTTAAAACGAGTGGTTGCCAACAACTTCCTTGGCAACGAACACCCAAGTACTAGAGATGGATGTGCCCTCTTTTTTCCCCAGCAGCTGAAAGCTGTGGTTCTTTTTGGTGCCCAGATGGGCTTCCTTTGGGCCCTTTGGGTGCTGGGCTTATTCAGACGCCCGCATATAATTTTCCAGCTCTTGAAGGGCGTTAGAAACAAGGCAGCCTGTGAGCTTCCATTTTCAGGGGTATCTCGTTTTAGAGAGTTCCCCCCCGTTTTAGTCTGGGCAGTCTCGCAAGGGAACACGGCGAAACCGATCCAGACCGGGGAATGAGGGGAGCCCTGGAAAACGTCGCTGGTGTCTGAACTTCTCGGAGTTGGTGACATGCTGCTTTTGGGTACTTCGGTGGTGGTTGGCTATGCCAGCTCTTTGAATCCCGAAGTTTACCATGTGAGGGAAGAACGTGAGGGATGACTGGCGGTTGCCTAAATCTCCGGAAACCAATGATGTCCACCAAGCCCAAGTCGAACTCATTCACATGGTTTGTGGCTGGTTACTTGAATGCTTGTCCTTTTTGTGGCAATCAACCGCATAGGGTTCACCATTGATTCCTTTCCCCTACCAGGGATCGGTGTGCTGGTTCCCGTTCCCGCAGGGCGCGAGTGGCAGAGTCCGCGCTCGGTGGGTCGGTGGGTGGGTGGGTGGGTGGGTGGGTGGGTGGGGTGCTTTGGGGGCAATTCGCGGCTTGCCGATTGGAAGGTCTTTCTCACGCCGGTGCCAGGCTATTCTACTCCTACCAGCGCGAGCGCGCTGCCCAGGCCATCAACCTGCCTCAGTGGGCAGGAAGGTCTGAAGGTCTTCTGGGGTCCTTCCAGCCGTTTTGGGTGGAAGGCTTGAAAGAGATCCTTAGGCAAGCCCGGAATTTGAGGCGCCTCAAAACCAGCTTATGCATGCAACCCGCGCCCCGAGGATGGATGACTTCGTAGAGAAGCTCCAGGATTTGCTTGCTTGCGGCGCCGTTTGGGGGCTGGGGGTGTCAAGTGAATGGATCTAGTTTGAGTCGCATGTTGGAAGGCTCTCCAAATTGCTTTCTGAGGTTGTCATTTCGCATATGCGAAGGTTCCAACAAAAGGGTTTTGTGGATTGCCAAAATAGGGAAGCCAGGAGGGAAAGCGGCTCCACCGGCTCCTCATGTTGAGACTCCAGCCCTTTCCTACCGTAGCGGGTCAAAGGTGAACCCTGCCACGAAGGAGCATTGTGGTTGCCAGGTCCGGGAACGAATTCATTCCGCTTTGTTCAAAGCCATCTTTTGTAATTCGGCAACCTGGCGGCTCAAATGCGCAGCCACTTCTTCTTGGGAAGCAGGTTCGAGTTGGTTTCCTTCGTCCCCTCCCAACATTGTTTCGTTGCCCGCCACGAATCAAGGCGCACCCCGTTGCCAACAAATCGCAAGGGACATCACGATGTACACCCTCTTTACTGGCGTGTCCCGTGGGCCCTTGGGGGTGGCTTGGGGGAAGACCCCCACAAGCGAAGGAGCAGCTGAGGGACCAGCTCAATGCCGAGGGCCGGCTCAAGGCGATCAAGGTGGGCAAACCTTCGCCCTCACGCGCGATCTGTGTGTGCCTGTGTGTGTGTGTGTGTGTGTGTGTGTGTGTGTGTGTAAGTGTGTAAGTGTGTGTGTGTGTGGGTGGGTGTGGGTGTGGGTGTGGGTGTGGGTGTGGGTGTGGGTGTGGGTGTGGGTGTGGGTGTGGGTGTGGGTGTGGGTGTGGGTGTGGGTGTGGGTGTGGGTGTGGGTGTGGGTGTGGGTGTGGGTGTGTGGGTGTGGGTGTGGGTGTGGGTGTGGGTGTGGGTGTGGGTGTCTCTTTGCATAACCGAGCAAGCCCAATAATATACAGTGTACGTATAACGCACACGCACACACACACACATATATATATATACACATAAATGTATTTCTGTACGCATACTTAGAAGTATGCAAGCAAGTCAACACACATGCGTGGCATCTCCCGGAGAGCATGTTTGAAGAGACCCCCGCACTTTTAGTAGTACCTGTCCAGCCTTTCCGGGTCTAGCATTTGAGCATTTGTGGCCATTCATTTGCGCAACATGCTCACAGACCAGACGTTTCAAACACATGTGAACGTCTTTGAAGTTGGACAACATATGTGTCCATGCCCTTTCCAATAGCTCTGCTTTGGAGGTTTTACTCAACTGAGCCGCTGCCCGCCATTTCGCTGATCGCCCATGAGGCTTTTTGGGCAACAAGTGGCGGGGAAGTGGCGGAAAGCGCGGAACGGCGAATCCGCAGCTGTAAGCGTCAAAGGTGGCTTGGTAATGAACCTAATGTAGTTGCATGCCTGGGACATTGCCATAGACATGCCGCTCGCTTGCAATTGTATGCTGCATGGCCATGTCCCTAAGAAGCCAGTCAGCAATCAGGGGGTCACGGCATGATTTGAGCCGTTTGGCTTCCAGTTTGCTTCCACCACATCTGGCAGGAACGTAAATGTGATGTCGCACTGGGGCTAAGTTCATGAAAGCGAAAGCTGTGCGAAAGACTCTGATGTGCTGGGTGCAAGATAGGGCGTCTTCGTGCGTCTTCTTTTGGTTAGTTTTGGGGAACCGAGTGCGGGTTTGGGGCATTTTTGCTGCGAAAGGCCCCTCCAGGTGAATCACAGAAATCCAGAATGGTTTTCCCTCCCACTGAACCAATGTTGTTGAGGAAGCATAGGATGGATAGATAGATAGACAGACAGACAGATAGATAGATAGATAGATAGATAGATAGATAGATATATGAGATAGATAGACAGGACAGATGAGAGGGATGAGATGGAAGAAATTCGACTATATGGATTATGGATAAGATAGATTATATGGATAAGATTCATAGATTAGGTAGATTGGAGGGATGGGATGCGACGGGATGGGATAGGACGGGATGGGATGGCATGGGGTGGGAAGCATAGATAGACAGACAGATGGATGGATGGATGGATGGATGGATGGACGGATAGATAGATACATAGATAGATAGAGATAAATAGATAGATAGAATACGATCTCCGCGCCGAAGAGTGCGTTTTCATCAAATTTCCGCCGGGAATCGGACGCCGTGGGGCAATGGCGGGCTTCGGGTTCCACCGTCCAGCCTCCCCCGAGGTCAGAAGAAAGCCCGCCCGTGCGGGGGAATTCCGCGCAGAGGCCGGGGATTTCTCTTGTCAAGGTGTCCTTGAAAGCGAACGGAAAACGGGAAATCGGAAATTCTACAGGACAATTGGGATCAAAGCCAGGCCTTGTTTTGGGTACCAACCAAAAATTCGTGATTTTTGTGCGTTCCCCCCAAAAGTCGATGATTTTGGTTTGTAGAATATGCTGGCGTCAGACGGCTGCTGGTTTAACGTTTCCTTCTTTTGTTTGGTTTTGATTGCGAGGCGACACCCCAGGACTCTCTCTGTTGTTTTCCATTCGATCTCTCTCTCTCTCTCTCTGTCTCTGTTTCTCTCTCTCTCTCTTTACCGCTTTCTGATTTGGAGCGAAATGCTGTTGGTGGCACTGTCCCGTTGGGGGAATGCAGCTACTGTGGGCAGTTGACCAACCGCGTAAAAAACAATGAACAAGCGCAACCCGGTCAACCTGCACGCTGGATGCAGAGGAAGCTGATGAGGTTGATATGAATTTTGCATCCGTTGCAAAGCCTAGCCGCAGTTCCAACAACTGAGGGACTATCAACAAGAGGACCCTTTTGAAAGTCTCTGCATGACACCCAGAGTGCTTTTTGTTGGCCTTCTATGTGTGGTTAACAGAACAAGGTCACACCTCAAGACTCTGCTTAATGATATTCACTCAATGCTGAAAGTGTGACTATGAAGGGCACATGCCCCGCCCCCACAAAACACTCTGCTTTCAGAGCCTCTTTATGGTTGGGAAAGGTTTTATCGTCCTTCCGCATGCCCGAATTCCGATGCAGTTCCGGCCTCTCTCACGCCAACAGCCACTTATGCACCTGAAATATGCGGGCACGCGGCATACGTGTTTTTTTGATGCGAGCGCTTCCTAAAGTAGTACCTGCCAATGCTTGCAGAAGAGAAAGGCACGTCAGTCCAGCGGCTGTGCTGGCACAATGCACAGCTCAGCCAGCGAGAATTCGGGCGTAACCAAGTGCCGAACAAGACTAAACCAGGCGGAATTGATCAAGAACGCAATTGACCAAGGGTAGAAAACACTGGATTTCAAGAACCCATGCGACCACTCTTGCCAGCCAACATGCATTTTGAACCCCCTGCTCTTAGCTTCCTTGATGCGCGCAGCAAGCGTAGCTCCTAAAGGATGAAGGCACCCAGCCCATTCCATTTGTGGGAGGCAGCAAAAGGATTGTGCCCATTTGACGGAGCCTCGCCAGCACACTTGTGACAAGGAGAGGCTGTGATTGCTCTTTTGGTGCGACCTTTAACCTGGTGGCTGTTTGGAGAATCAATATATGCATTTGCCTGCCAGAAGCAACAAACGCAACAACCAACCAACCAACCAACCAACCAACCGACCCACCAACCACCCAACCAACCAATTAACCAACCAACCAACAAACAATGAAACAGACCGACCGACGGAACAAGCAACCAACTCAAACAGGCAAGCAAAGAACGGCACAGAACGCTTTTTTGGCAGGAGTCGGCTAGTTGAGATGCCAAAGTTGCAAGGTTTCCTACGTAAAGACGATTTGCGCAAGGTCCGCAAGGTCCGTCGGCCCCCAAGGCAAAGCTGAAAGGCGCAGTCCTTCTAAGCTAGATATTTCTTTTATATCTCAGGTGCTGCTTATCCTCGCAATCTTTCAGTGAAGAGCAATCTTTCATATCTTGGTTGCCTTTTGATGTTTGTCCACTGGGCGCGTCGTTTTATGAAAAAAACCCGGCGGCTCCGCCCGTCGGGGCGTGGGCGCGGAGGCTCTTCCGTGCCACGTCGCTGACGCTCACGGCCGGGGCGCTGGCCGGCGGCTTAGGAATCCTCGGCGTGCGGCCGGCGGTTTTCTGAGGCGGCTGTGGTGGTCAAAACCGTCAAACGGGACCCCATTTTGGTTGGAAAGTAGATGGTGTATGATTCAAGGTAAACACCGAGAAACGTGATGGGTTCAATTTCATGCCTTCCTCTTGTGGTGCGAAATGGATTTCAGGCCAGCCGCAGAGGGGGCTCCCTACTGTGGACAAAACCTGTAAAGGGCATTCCACGGGGGGAGGCGTCACAAGTGACTAGGGAGCTACTAAAGACCAGGCTTGAGGCGGGGTCAAAGGACTGGCAACTCTCGGCGATCCCTGTGTGTGTTCCTTGTGGTTGCTCATGGTAGAGCAGAAGGGGTTGCAAATTTCCGGACGAGCTCTGAATCTAATCATCGCCGAACTTAGCAAGCAGGGCGTGTTTTCGAGGCACTGCTTTGTTCTTTTTTAGTTTTGACTTTCGGAATATCAAGAGAAACCATTTGTTTGGACTCTGTTTTCGGTAAGAATGCGCACCATTTTTCTAAGAGTTGATTCCCCATTCTTTCCAACCACCGTTCTTTTCGTGGGCTTCCGGAGGTTTTCTAGAAGAAGGATCCCTGGAAAGAATGGGACAGGTCCCCCTAGATTTTTTGGGAAGTTTGAAGATCACATCCTGGCCAGTTTTGCTTGAGGTTTGCTCTGGTGGGTGGTGTTTAACGGGCTTTGCGACAAAGCGGAAGCCCCACATTCCCTGCCCGAGGTGTTGCCCCCGCAGCCCCCAGAGCCGGAGGAGACGCCCTTGCTGGGCCGCCGACGAGCGCCGCGGCAGAAGTTGCCCAGTGTGCTGGTGTGTCTTCAAGGGGTTTGCGCTAACATGGTGTGCGTTTTTTTTTGTTGGTTGGTTGGTTGGTTGGTTGGTTGGTTGGTTGGGTTGGTTGGTTGGTTGGTTGGTTGGTTGGTTGGTTGGTTGGTTGGTTGGTTGGTTGGTTGGTTGGTTGGTTGGTTGGTTGGTTGGTTGGTTGGTTGGTTGGTTGGTTGGTTGGTTGGTTGGTTGGTTGGTTGGTTGGTTGGTTGGTTGGTTGGTTGGTTGGTTGGTTGATGTTCCGTCTGTTTGTCTAGCGGTGGGGTTTGTTTGTTTGTTTGTTTGTTTGTTTGTTTGTTTGTTTGTTTGTTTGTTTTTCCCCACCCGGCAGGAAGGGGTTGTTAGATTTTATGTTGGAATCCGTGTTTGCGATGTTTCTACACCACGCCCCCATCCAGTATCCCGCCAGAGCGGCTCGCCAGTGGATCCCGCTGAGTATGCCACCAGAGCGGCTCGCCAGTGGATCCCGCCCAGTATCCTGCCACAGAGGCTCGCCAGTGGATCCCGCCCAGTATCCCGCCAGAGCAGCCCGCCAGTGGATCCCGCCGAGCATCCTGCTGAGTATCCCGGTAGCTCGCCAGTGGATCCCCGCTGAGTATCCCTTGCCGGCGGATCCTGCCGAGTATCTCGCCAGTATTCGCCAGTGGATCCCGCCAGTATCCCGCCAGAGCAGCTCGCCAGTCTGGCTTTGCTTAATGTCCACAAGGGCCGATGGGAATTTGGAGTCGAAGTCTCTAGGATGCGGAGGAATTTGTTGTAACGGTCGTAAGCTCGTGAGTGAGGCGGGGATTGCTCGAAGCGAAGTATTTTGTTGGTTGGTTGGTTGGTTGGTTGGTTGGGTGTCTGTCTGTTTGTCTATCGGTGGAGTTTGTTTGTTTGTTTGGTTGGTTGTTTGGGTGGTCGTTTGTCCATCGGTCTTGTTTGTTTGTTTGTTTGTTTGGTTGGTTGGTTGGTTGTTTGTTTGTTTCTTTCTTTCTTTCTTTCTTTCTTTCTTTCTTTCCTTCCTTCCTTCTTTCTGTTTCTTTGTTTGTTTTTTGGTACGCCCTTAGCTTCTATCTCGAATAGAATCCGCAAAGGTCACCCTCGGAAAGAAACCAGCATAGGGTGTGAGTGACGGTGCTAACACGTTTTCACCTACGGCTACGATGAGCGGACGGCTCTGGCGGCCTGGTCAGATTTCCGGCATTCCTTCCTGTGGTCCAACTCATTTCTGAGGGGTCAACAACCGGCCTAGCTGCCAAACCTTCCATGTTCTCAAAACATTTCTCGCTCCCTCGTGGTGCTCAAGGGAAATATGGACATGACTGGTGAACGGTCCGTTAGAATTAACACCCCCCCCGTGCAAGTTTATGGGGATGTTTTCAGCCAAAACTCGATGCCGGGCGGCTTTTTGCAGACCCAACATCGACGTTTTTGGGGGTATCTTTCTTGTTTGCAGGCTGACCTCCAGCTTGTGCCTTGCTTCATCCCTCACTAAGAACATGTTGGGGCCCGAAGAAAGAATGTTTTCTGGGCTGTTTAAAACGGTCAGGACCGCAAATTTGGGCCATTTTGACACACGCACGCACACAAATGGAAACTGAGGACAGTGACCAGGTTCAGCAGCGTCTGGTGTCCGAGCCCCTCGGCAAGAAATGGAAAGCCACGGTGTTCCGAGCATGGGCTGGGGGGGTCTCCTCCGAAATAATTGGGTGTGTGCTTTTGGCAGGCGGCCTCAAACAAACGGGACCCGATTGCAAGTAAACCGACCAATGGTGACTGATGCTAACTTAAGGGTTCCTTTTTCCCTTAGTTGGAATATTTAGGTTATCCTGCGTGTCGCTTGAGATTCTCATGCATGCGGACATGTATACAAATACGGTATTGCCAATCGACATGTGCAAATATACTGTGTAAGTCGTATGCGCATGTGTGACCATGTTTGCATACGCATGTTACAACAACACGCCGCATGCCTTCAACAATGAACACGCACACACATGCACATACGTGTACATGTTCATGCCTACGCCCCGGAAAACGGCGTGGCGTTTCATGGCTTTTCGTTTGCTCGCAAAGTGCATGGATTTCCATCTCTGAATGGTTCTTGATGAAACCTGGTCAACTCCATACACCTGGTGAACTTGGAGCTGGGATGTTTAAGCAAGAGGACTTCTCACCGAGCCACAAAACGTGGCTTTTGCGCACGCCAACCCGCCCACGCTCGCCGTCGCACGCCTGAAACCTGCGCACATGTCTGCCAGACCGCCCAGGCTCTCCGTCGTCCGCCTGAGTACATGCCTGGCGCATTGGCGCGTTGTAAGCACACCCGCCCACGGTCTCCGTCGTACGCCTGAGCCCATGCCTGGCGCATAGTAAGCGCACACGTCGCACGCTCAGGGTATGTCGACGGCCTATTGTCTCGGCTATTTCTGTTTGTAATGTGTGTGTGTGTGTGTGTTAAAAGCACAAGACCACCGTAGCTTGAGCATGTCAGGTCAGCAGCAGTCATGCTCCCTGAGATGCAAGATGCCAATGCTGGATCTAAAACCAGAACATTTTCGTGACGGAAATTTTGCAATTTTTCCTTGAGTTCTCTTGTTTCGCCTCGGCGAAACACACGTTTCGGCGAATCAGACTGGAGCGTCGCACACGTTTTGCCAGGGGCGCATTGTGGTAAGTGCAAAAAACCAAGCGCACGATTGGCTGCACCATGAGCGCGGTGACGTCCAATTTTGCCGTGCCGGTTATCGGTCCGGCGGGATGTTCATGTATCGGCCGCTTGCTTGTTTGGTGGCTGAATCGTCAGCTTCTGGCGAGTTTCCTTCAGGAACCCTACTTCGGAGTCGATGCCTCTTGTAGTTGAGCGGAAAAGCTGTCCGCAATGTAGCCATGGATCAACAATGCTTGTTTGACAAAGGGCAGCTTCACCAAGAAATTGGAGCCCGCATCCTCCTACTTGATGTCTGCCCGGGCTGTCCTAGTATGTTGTTGGTGCATCAGTGGGCACTCTTTTCGTTGCCTTGCTGAGTCAAGACCCTTCCTGGACGCAACGGCAGAGAGAGAGAGAGAGATCCTAGCACAAACCTACATCTTTTTTACGTCTGGGGCCCCGATCGCTCCCGGCAGCCAAGGTTGCTCAGCTTCGTCGGCCTTTGCAAGGCTGCCGGCACGGTTTCGGGGGGGAGCCCTTTGGCGGCGGTTTTTGGCTTTTGTAGCTCCTTAGGTTTGTTCAGGTGACCCTGGACTGGCGGTTGGGGGACTGGTGGTGGGGTTTGAAGCCCCGGTTCGGAAAAAGATGGCAAAGGGGAAACTAGCATAAACTAGCCTCATCTCGAAACCACCAATCCGAATTACTAGTTGCAGGGATGCTGATTTGTGCCAAAGCCACGACAAATCAAAATGGCAGGTGTTTTTTCTTTTGAACAATCCTGCATGTTCTAGTTTAGCCCTTTGGTTTGTTTGCCTTTGCTGGCGTTGCGTTGCCTGGTGTTCCGCACTCGCGTGCTGCGTCGATGGCCTGGAGGCGGGCCATGAGAATGGGAGTTTGAAGGGGCCAACCCAACGAACCAAGCAGCCAACCAATCAACCAACCAAGCGACCAACCTAACCAACCAATCGGTGCAACCAACCAAACAGCCAACCAACCAAACAGCCAACCAACCCAAAAACCAACCAGCATGAATGCGAGCATTGGTCTAGCAGCTTGCAGTGTGGAGAGCCCTTTTGGCTCATTGGCTGGCAGACAAAGTTCGCCAGGTTTGGCTGGTCCTTCTGCTACTGCTGATGTTCGTGACGGGTGTGATTGTGATGGTGATGTTCGCGCTGGGCTTACTTCAGAGACGGCGCCGGCGTGCGAGGGCGCTGTCTTGCCCCAGCGCGGGAACGCATGTTAACAGTCAGGAGGTCATGTGCATGTTTTCCAAGGGTGTGTTCTTTGGGGTCAAAAGGGAAACAACCACAATTCTTGGGGGCAAGCCCCCTGTGAGACATATCCTCATGGCTTGTCGTTAGCTCGCCCAGTTTCAAGCCATCTTTGCGACGATCTTCTACCAGGACCCGCCCAGTGTGTGTGTGTGTGTGTGTGTGTGTTTGCTACCAGTCGTTTCTGGGTTGATTCAAGGGGAAGCCAAAAAGCACACCACCATTGTGGGGAGGGTAGGGTTCCCATATTCTGACACATCTTCGTGTGGAAGCCCTTATCCTCCATGGATCAACCCCCAGGTTGCGAAGTGGACATTGTAAGTTTGGGGAGGGTTGGTTTCTTCCACAAAGCTTCCAAGAATCCTGGGCCTTTCCAGGTCCGGGGAAGAAGTGCTCTGTGTGCCTCTGCCTGCTGCGGAGGACAAGCCCTGCGACCAGCCGCTGCTGAAGTGGTACATGTTGTTCACCCTGCTCTGGAGCCAGGCGGGCCTGCCCACGTGCGGTGAGAAACACAACCAGACTGCGTGTGGGATGCATGTAGGGAGAAAGCGAGGAACCTGAGGCATAGAAACCGTTGCATCAGAAAGAGGGGGCGCTGGGAGGGTTTTTGGGGATGCGGACATTCTGCGAGAGATTTGCGGCAAGAGAGAGAGAGAGAGAGAGCGAGAGAGAGAGAGAGAGAGAGCGAGAGAGAGAGAGAGAGAGAGTGAGAGACAGAGAGACAGGGAAACAAAGAGCGAGAGAAGCACACATCCGCCACAAAGAGGCCGTAAGCACAGAGGGCTTGATGGATCCCTGGTTTGGGGCTGTCTTCGAATGATTCGGGTGCTGCTTTGCGTCCGCAGGATCGAATGATCCTTTCGGGTGCTTGTTTTGCCCAAGAGGCGAAATAGTACCGCCAGGGAACTCTTATCCGCTTCCCTGGCATTGATGATTTGGATGGGCGGTTTGGAGATTTCCGACTTTGCCTCAAAAGGAACCAGGAGTCAAATGGCTGTGGGTCAAAAATAGGTACCCAAAATGGCACCTTGGTAAATGGAAACAATGACTAAAACCTGTGGTCCCCTGGTGGTTTTAATTTTGACCCACAGCATCTTGATTCCCTGGATCGTTCGGAAGGTAAATGCCGGGGCAGGGTGATACTGTGCCATGTGGCCTTCTGACATGGCTGGCGGGGACGCCATTCGTTTCATGAGGCCCACCAGAGGGGCCTCCTGGAGAAAGTATGTTCGTTGACAAGGTTAGTGAGAGGTCCCACCTGGGTTATAAGTTGTAGCCCGCTATTAATGTTAGCTCCACGTACCCAGTGGACTAAATGGGTTTTCGCCGAGCGGTTACCAACAACATGCTTGGCTTCGTGACCTTGGGCCTTCTGGAAAACTTTGTCTGGTTCATTGATCTTCAAAAAAAGCCATGAGGGGGACTATCACCTAGTAAGGCCTTAGGGGCTCATACCAGGAATGCAGATGCCGCAATTCCCATCAACGCGGGCAAAGCGGAAAACTAAAATGGGGAGCTCGTTCCCCTGAGTTCCGACTTTCACATTTTTTTCGGGAAGGCCATTTTAGTGGTGAACATCAACTTGGGACGTTTTGCGGCCAATCCACTCGATCTCAGGTCGCCCTTTGGTGGGTTGGATTTGTGGCGTTGGATTTGAAGTCTTGGTGTTTGTAGAGGGTTTGCATGGGGTTTTCCCAACCCAAGCTGATGTAAAGCCCGTGGTCCTAGGTTCTGGCACCAGACTTGTGGTTCTGGATGGTCCACCCTTGGGCCAAGGAACTTTTAAACTCAACTGGCGGATTTTTCGTCGGTTCAGGGTGTTCATGTCGTTTCGACAGGAGAGAAAATCCGTAGAGCAGCAAGAGGGAGAGATACGTGATTTCAGGTTAAAAGCCACACTTCTCACTCCATGAGTTCCCGGACTTTAGTAGTTACTTTTGGGTTTGGACTTTTTGGCGGTAAACAACAATGGAATCCCGTCCAAGGTTCCTTGTCCTGATGTATGTTAGGGGCTGACGAGACGTGGCGCACGTGTCTCCTGCCTCGCAAGGTTCCGCCCTGCGCCTCCTCCTTCGTGCGGGCGAGGCTGCAGATGCTCCAGCAGAGCGCGCTGGTCTCCTTTTGCGCCCTTCGGCGCTCGTGTGTCGGGCCCGGGGGGTTCACCTGATATATATATATATATATACACATATTTGCATAGAAACACACACACACACATATATATATATATATGTATTATATATATATATATGTATGTATATCTATATATATATATTCGCATGTGTTTATTGTTGCAAACACAGATTCGCACATGTATATATATATACAGATATCTACACACATGTATATATATATAGATATAATGTGCATACATAGGCAGGTTTCTGCATGTATGCACATGAATATAGGTGATGCTTTGGATGACCAGAAGCAGGCAGCTGGCCACTTGCTGTTGCCACGCTGAGGCGAGCGTCCTCTTCAGCTTGCCAGGCGCGGCCTCGACTCGACGTCAAGCGTGTCGACTCAAATCCTTGGGATGAGACCAGCGCCAGCCGAAAGGCCACCGTT